GTCTTTTTCATACAATACCGTTTCATTTCAATAGTAATATTATTTTTTTCATTCAGGCATCCTCTTTACAGTATATTTAGTTTCCTTTCTTCTGGACATAGATTACAACTAATGTGTATATACCAGCTACTATCAACAGACCTGATTTAACAGCCTTGCCAGTGTTGAATAGTTTGGTTTGCACGTGGTAACTGTGCAGTGTACGAAGCCCAGAGGCCAAAGAAACGTTTTTATTTTATCTGGCATTTTCTTTCCCTCCCCAACTTCATTTCAGATATTTTTAAAATCATATGTGAGAGAGAGAGAAAAAAGATTATTTCTTATTTATCTCTGGGGTTCCGTAGAAGGGGAAGTAAAGGCAAGGGGACAGAATATATTAAGGTATTTTCACTATTCTTCTTTTTTAATAAACGTGTAACTATCTCAGGCACCACAACCATAAATGATCGTTAAACGAAACGCGAGTTCCACATGCTCTGAAAACCAGTTTGTCGTCTGATTCTACAAAACAAACGGCATCCGGAATCTGTTTACTACAAACCCTCTATAGACTCACAACGCGATGATCGACACTTGACGACAGTCTTTTAAAGCTGGAGATATTTTTTTAATCCGCTCTCATGCATGCAAGCCTCCACTCGGGGAGGATTCAAAGCAGGGGTCTTTATCACTTCCAATTCAGTGAAGTTAAATAAAAGTTGACTGAACAGTTTTGTTAGTTCAAACGACTACGATCAAAAAAGGCTAATTATATATTTAAAAATAGTCAAATTAATTGATAACCACATTTCCAGGGGGTTTGCATCATATCACAAGTTAACTTACTTTTGGCAAATATTGTTATTTGTAAAAATAACAGCGTTTTTTGTTTGTGATCTTAAGACGGTTCATTAACAGTTGCAAACGATGCACAACCCATAATGGCCGCAATCAATTATCTGTGACTTCCCCGATCAGTTTCAGTAATGCCAGTGAACTAGCTGCCATGGATGTATAAAGAGAACTGGATAAAGCTTTGGAGGCGGGATCACTTTATCCGGGGTTTTGGACCAATAGAGCGCTTGAGTTTGTGTTAAGCCCCGCCTCCAGTATGCCAGTCTTGTCTAGTCAAATGAATGGATAGGGAAATAAAGCTGAATTCGTCTTTTCGCACATTCGTTTAGACCCTGATGCTTTAAATAGGGGCTATTCAGGTGTTCAAACTGGGTAGTTGATTTACCTTTATTTTTTTCCCAATGCAAGTCAATGTGAAAATGTATTTTTTGGCCCATTGACGTCACAGGAAGAAACTGTAGTACCACCATTCGGCCACTTGGAACATCTCCTTAACGTCCGGCTCTCGTCCCGGGGGCTTAGCTGATTCCCACTGCACTCAGGGCCTCTGGTATATCTGCCTGTAAGGATGCTAGAGGCATGCTAACTGCTAAATGCTAACTTTCCACATACGGCCTTTACAGCATTAATGCGATTGTAGATGTCAACACAAAGTCAAGGCACAGTTCAGGATTAGTCCGTATTGTTGATCCTGTGGTGTCCTGTAGCACTGCACTGTGTGGCTTTAGGCTGGCAATGATGATGATGTGAAGAAATTGGATGTAGCTCAGGATCCCTGATGCTGCACCGGGTGTAGTATTAGCAGCATTCAGGTGAAGTGAGTGGTGAGCATATATAATGTTTCACGTAGAGTCGACTAAAATCATTTCCAGGTCCTGTTGACTGACTTTTTCTCACATTTCATTCACAATAAGATTCTTTCAAATATATTTCTAATAATTCATTAACCCTTTTCAATGCGGATTATTTTAAACTCTTTCTGTCTTAACTAAACGTACTCATGATGGAACACTCAAACATTGGCATGACGTCATTTGGCAATATTCTCTAAAAAAAAACAAAGAAAGAAATGAAAACAAAATACAAAACGTTCAACAAATAGTAACTAAAAGGTCTCCATTTGGCAATATAGAAAGGCTTTTTAAAAGTCTTTGACAGGTTTTGGTTTATATACAGATGTGTGTGTCCCCTCCAAGGGCTCCCTTTTTCAATCCGAGCTGAATCACGTAGAAAATGTGGAAGTGAAAACGTCTACATAGTCAAATAAAAGTGTGAAAATAAAAAGTAACAAACAAGGCGTTGTGTCCGCCAGAGCGGCAACAGAAGTGTCTGTAGAGTCTGTGGGGGGGGGGGGAAAGAAAGAGTCCCTGCCGAAACGGTCCGCACTGTGTGTCTCAGTTCATGAACTGTGTGTATCCCTCGGCTCCCGTGACGATCACGTCCATCCAGATCCTCATGGCCTCCGCTGCGGGGGCCACCATGTAGTACAGCCGGTCGTGGGTCTTCACGCAGAACGTCAGGGAGGGGTTCGGACTCTGGAAGAAGGAGAGAGAAAATACAAATTAGACCTTCAGTGGTTCAGAATAGAATTCTTTGTTATTCAGGACTATAAAATCAGTTTGGTTTTCGTCTAAATTACATGGATTGGTTGAGTATTGGATTCTGATTTGGAAGTTTGAAAAAAAAGTCTGAATTTGTTTGGATACCCCTAACAAAAGAACACCATTTTATACTTTTCTATTTGTGGCACCCACAAACATAACGGGAGTGGTTCAGTCTGTAGGGGATTGTTCTTTGGACCGAAGGGTCGCCGGTTCACGTCCCGATTGGACAAAAAAAAATACGGAGTGTGGACTGGTACTGGAGAGGCGCCAGTTCACCTCCTGGGCCACTGCCAAAGTGCCTTTGAGCAAGGCACCTAACCCCCAACCGCTCACTGGCGCCGGCTAGACTGGCTGCCTCCCTCCGCTCTGACCTCTCAACTGCATGTGCATATAACTGTGTGTATTTGTATATGCATGTTGTAAAAAGTGTGTACTGTATGACCTGTAAACGCATGTGTGTGTACGACAGAGTGGAAACTGAATCTTCTTCATTTGGATTCATGATGGCTACACTGTCTCCAGTAAAGAAAAGAACAAGGAAGATGGTCCAATATATGTGAAGAGGTTAAATGACTAGAGGACAGTGAAAATCAACAGAAGAAGACAGACAGGAAGTGAGCTCTAACAGGAACACTATGGGCTCTGGCCGTGTTTAGAGACTGGATCATTGCCTAGAAAATGTGAACCGCTTGGACAGAAAACTTCGATCAGTGCTGCCGCCATTTTAAGTTACGTTGCTATGTCGCAGTTCCAGCCGTTGGTATGCAGTGGAGTATTTTAACTTGCTGAAGCAATATGTTCATTTTTAAACGATATTGTGAGTCAATTCATTGGTTTATTATGTCATGTTAAAGGTGGGATAATGTGCAGCATTGGGATCCTGGCCACCCATGTAAGGATCTCTTACATGATACATTTCAACCTTAAAAACATTAACAACAATAAATCGATTATGAAAAACCAACACTTGGCTCTGAAATGTAAAGTATGACAGACACATCTGTATTCAATTCAGCCCAAAATACGAGCATTAATACAAGAATACTTATGCTGTCAATGAGTTTTTGTCAAAAACCAAGCAGTCCAAGATATATGAATGTCAACAATCCATATGACAAGTAAACTTTTAAGGGTGTCTTCTGCATTAAACTGGTGTTTTTGGAGGCGAACCACCCATCCTACTGTACAATTGATTTATTCCTTACACACATGTTCCACTCTGTGTCATCTTTGTGTCTAAGTGCCTCAGACTTTATAGTTTCTCCTCTGTAATATTGGAAGTGACAAGTATAATCAAAGTTGCAGAGTTGATCAGAGCCACACAGTGAGGCAGAGTATCGCGACAGGCCAACACACACACACACACGATGAGGAGGCAGCAAAGCTTTATGTGTGAGGCTCAAGACAAGCAGCACTCAGCGTGGATCATAAAGAACAGAAATATGGCCGAGAACAACACAGAGACGTTTCTTTGAAAAAGAGTTGAAGGAAGAGAGAGCACTAATGGTTCTGTCAAACCCAAAATAAAATAAAAATGCTTTTTTGGTGTTCTCATTACCCAGATTTTCAAGCAAAGTCTACCTCAAGATAGAAATGATATGTATTACGGTAACTGTATCTCCTTTAAGCCTTGGGAGGCAAATTAAAAAATATATGGTTTTTGATTATTTACATATATTCTACATGCCAATTGCTTAATGTTGAAACATTTTCAATTGTATTGTATATGTTTTCATATATATATGAAAACAAAATGATTACACATTCCTAATTGAATACTTGATTTTAATTGGTCAATTCGGATATTTCAAAGGTTGTTAATACCTGATAACACACCACTATATGTGGCTGTGTATTAAGCAGGCTCATCGGGCTTTGTGATCACCCTGTCCGTATTCTTTTTCCATAATGAACGCCTTGCTTCACATTATCCCTTAAATACAAATCTATACAATCACCTCATTCATACCTCCCCATATTGCAGTGGACCATACCGATTTGATTTAACGTACTGTTTCCTTATTTTATATCCCTAAATCTTATAATTGCACATATGTTGTACTGTTGGAGGAGCCTGGGGTTTAAGAGTTTCAAAACTACCAGCAGCTATTGTGCATATGACAATAGAGCCTATGAATCTACACACTTTAAACTCTGAGACAGGAAACAGAAATGATCATTTAAGTTGTTGAAATTTAAAAGGCTGAAATCATATGTGGGTTTTTCTTTTTTGCACTTTAAACACAGGGTAATTTATGGTGTTAGCATGTGACTTTGTTATTGTTGGCCTTAAAATGTATTTCAATCAGCACTAATCTGATTATTTTACTCCTATTTAGAATATAGGGTAGTGCCCTCTTGTGTTAAAATGTAGTATTACAACAACTGCAACGCAAATAAATATCCTAAAACAAACAAAACTTACCCGCCTGTGTTTTTATTTTCACCTGTTCCAAAAGATCATCCATGAATTTAAAACAAATGATAACTTTTTCTCATTGGCCCGTAAAGGCTTCCATACCTCGTCTATCAGCAGGGACTTTATAAAACCACTTGACTAGTTTACACTGGGAGAACTGGGATGGACAAAGGGATCAAACAGGACTGAACACTACGTTTTCACACAAGACTAAGGCTTGTGTCTGCGGTAACACAACACAGATCTGAACCATGCATCATCAGGCTGTTTCACTCCATCACAATACACAGTGTTTGGTTTGGACACCCAGGGTTCAGTTAGGGGTAAAAGGGAGAGAACAGAAAGGCTCATACATACACTGGTCATATTCAAGTTGAAAAATCCCTTCTGTGACAGCAGCCGGCCAAAGCAAAAGCACAAACCGAGGAGAAGAGAAGCAAACAGCAGAATGTGCAGAGTTTTAAATGAAAGAGAGTGCATGAGGAAAGCAAATAAAGTGTGAAAATAAATGAGAGGAAAGCTGTCAGAGTCCATCCACTACAAACCTTAGTGGCGCTGCGGAGGTGGTCGTAGTACACCTCTTCTATCGCCTGGAAGTAGATCACTCCCTTCAGCTTGGTCTCATGTTTGTCTGTGGGAGGGGAAATATCCAAGACTTAAACACATCGGCAAAGACAGACTTCTCTTGGGTGTCACCTAGAATAACACCGTTAAAAGAAGGGAGGAATCAAACTTTGATCATGACCAATTTATGGTTGCCGATGATGGATGGAAAATGACAAGCGCAGCACTTTTTCCCCGTGTTTTCAAACCGATGGAGCTCTCATTGTATTTTAGACTTGCCTGCATTCTTACGCTTCTCTGGTACATCATTGCAGTTTGTTTCATCAGCCACTGCAGAACTGCAGTGAGGAACCGGTGGGGAACTCAACAGCCGTCTCTACCTCCAGGCACAAACACTCCACAAGCCAACTTAAAGAGTAGTAGGTAGAAAACACGGCGCCTCATTTCCAGGAATAACAATTTCCTTTTAATACGCAGCCATTATCTGTTAATGACCTCTTTAGCATTCAAACAGCCCTGCATTAGCATCTCATTTGGCTTGCATCTAAACTCCCAGTTTGCTTAGCTTGGATTAGCTCGTGACTCGTCGCCTCTCGTTGTTCAAGGTCAACAGACAAGGGTGAGCGGTGCATCTCAATCAGCCTCCTCAGAGAGCGCCGCGCTGCGAGCATTTTAACTAGCGGCGGAGTAATCTCAGCACACCTCCTCACCCCGGCTCGCTTTCAACAAGGTACGCTTTAAACAGCTTGAAGCAGAACCTTGTGAGGACTTCAAAGGGCCGAGTGGAACAAGAGTCCCCGAGCTGGAGCAGCACATTACAGTCTGCTGCTGCCACTCGCACACCTCACATGTTAAATGGGAAGTTTACTGCAGATACTCGAACATGTTCTGACTTTTTTTAAAGTCTTCCTTAGATATTCATTCATATTCCACAAGGGGCTCAGAGTCAATGTTAATCAATATTCATTGAAATTAAGAGAAAAACTTTTCTTCCTTTGGAACAAGCTACTTCATCATTATTCAACAATTTAAAAAAATCTTTACTAGCAGATATAGTATTATACACCAGACAAAAAAACGACTGTTTCCACCAGGCTGTCAGGATGCTGAACTCTCACGGTTCCCTCCCACCTATCCCCCCTGCCGCCATTGGACCTGGATTTGAACAGTAAATCGTCACAGTAACGACCCCGCAGCACCGAGTATCCTCAGTATGTTCCTCCTCACTTCTTACCGACATAGTAGGAGAAGGTCCTCTTGAGGCGGTCGAAGACGAACCAGCGCTTCTTCCAGGACTTGATCTTCCCCCCCATCTTCACCAGGTAGCCCTTGCACATTTTCTCGGTGAGGATGAGGTGGTAGCAGGTCTCCACGCTGTGGCCCGACGCCTCCACGTGGGAGCGAAGGTCGAACTCCTCCTTCCTGATGGGCAGGTAGCGGGTCATAGGACGGGCCTGAGGGGAGCGAATACACCACAGTGCTCACGGTTAGAGAATGTATTCAGAACTGTGATGCTGGACTCTTAACCCCAAAGTAAAGAGTCTGTTTTCAGTTTGAGCTGTGCTCCATTGACTCACAGTAGTGAAAGTCTACTTCTCACACTCTCCGACTTTATAAAATAATGTACTACTTCTTAGATCTCTTATTGCTGGGTTTAAAAAACAAAAGAGCTTTAACCACAGAAGAGCAAGAGGGCCACATTTGAAAAGTGATTTTATTTTTGTTCTGAGATTATAATCAGAATTCTGATTTAAAAAAAAAGTGTTTTAAAACATTTAATTTAATTTGCTTTTGTTGTGTTTTTAAACTAATTCTCTAAATGTTTTTATTGATTAATTATTGCTAATGTTTTTTGTTTCCTTTACTTTCACATGTATTTGATTAAAAGACATTTCATTATATAATGAAATGTCTTTTAATGGTCTATTTATTCTTTTTTTAATTGCTGCTTTTGTATTAGTTTTTGAGCTAAAACTCTTGCAAATGCTATTTAAATACATATTATTATTATATATAGTAATTAAAAATGTAAAATTGTGATCCATCGTCACACATATGAGTACTGTATCTTTAATTTTTTGCATCTTTTTTTTTTTTTAATAGAGATTTGTTGTTTTGTGACGTCGCAAACATTTCATTCTGATCCAAAACTGGGTTACCTGGGTTACCTGGGTAATCCAACTTGAATAATATTGAATACCATTAACCATTACAACCTGAAGCTTGAGTTCAGGGCTCTTTGTCCCCTCAGACTCGACCCCCTCTTCCTCACTGACCTGAGCGAAGTTCTTGGCCCTCATCTTGACCTCCCGCTCCACCAGCTGCTGCCGGTGGAAGGTCTCGTCCTGCAGCCTCTTCTCTGCGTCCTCCCTCCTCCTCCTCTCCTCCTCCAGCATCTGACGGCGAGCCAGGCCCTCTCGCTCCTGCAGGACAGACAGAGGGCTTCATTCAGATGTACTTTAGACCCATGGAGGGCTTTGCACAGCATGCAGCTGACAGCCAGAACTCAGCAGACCTTCATGTACATTTCTCTGTGAGAGCTGCTCCGCCTCTTTGACTAGAGCAAAGGCGCTCTTGGCTATCTGGTAAAGTTAGAATGAAAGCGTAGACAGGAACACACACTTGTTTATTTACATCATATCTACATGCAGAGACCTGAAGGCAACCAGAGGACTGTACTACGAAGCCGGATTTTGGCTTAGCGAGCTAACTTCAGGGTAAACTCGGGGTTTCCGGTCCTACGATGCTGGTTCTCTTCTTAAGGGGCTAGATCTCAATGATAACTTATGCTGAGCAGCTAATACAGGTTAGGTTGCAGGCTAAGAGATCAAGTCAGTGAAAGCACCGCCTGCTGACCAATCAGAGCTCAGTGTTTAAAGCGATCAAGTCATATTACAGGAGAAAGGAAATATAGTTTAAACTGCCGTTGCAGGAAAGACGGCCGGCAAAAATCAACTGACTGTGTGAACGTGAACATTAATAGAATATCACCTCCCATCTTCAGAGCAATCTGACTATTATAACATTAGCGTTAAGAAAGCTTAATTAAATATCTGCCACAACATAAGTAACCGGATCAAAGTAACATTACGTAGGCTACAGTCCGCGGCACTGTGAGTGCAGATGTCGATGTGTCCCATTATCATTCATATCACATCATAATATATCATATATTTCCTTATCTGAGTCAGCTTCTTGAGCCGTATCTGGCCGTGCAACACTCACAGTGTCACATACTGTATGCAGAAGTATTATTTTAAGCAACACATTAAGTTGACGAAACACTCGAGTCAAATGTAAATAAAGTCAGATCGTGTCTTAGACGGGGCAGTGATATCATAAACCTGTTAATGTACGCATTCAAACACTTGTTCTGTTACCAGCTGTATTCACCTTGCAGGTGCAACTATGTGGCTTTTATCCTGGATAAAGTGTTTAAGTCATGGATG